ACACATTATTATTATTATTATTATTAATTAAATCGAAATCTTTCGTTAGGAGTTCAATCTTCTCTCCAACTCCACTTAGTATTAAGTTCAAGGATTTTAAGACCGTTGCTCGATGGAATGCTTCCTAGGGGGTATCAGCGGTTCGATCTAGTCGAATATTTACAGCTTTTTTAATTTGTAAATTATCACACGTGCCGAATTTCACACCTAACTACATGTTATACTTAGAAACATCAACTGACTTTTTATTTGTTTACACCATCTTCACTCACTTCGCACACACCACATCATCAGACTTCGGACTCCCCAAAATGGGCTGTTGAAATAATTACTACCAATTTATCCTGGTTTAAGGCTCTCAATTCACTAGCCCAAGATCTTAAAGACAAAAAGACCATAATAAAATAATAACCAGCCCCTGAACCTAAAAAAAACAACAAAGAACATTAGAAACAAAACAAGAACCAAATATTCCAATCTTAACAATATTAAAAGCAAATGCCTATAAACACTACAATAAGCAAAAAGACCAGTTACAAATAAGTATAATAAAAACCCAAGAATAAGTTTTAATAGTTTAAAAGAAATAATGATCTTGTAAATCATAGATAGGATTAACCTTTAAAACTTCAACAAAAGACGAATTTTTGTCTAACATTAATCTCCAAAACTAATATTTTAATTAAACTACTTGTTGGCAGCTAGTAAACAAAATAAATAAAGAGAAATATAGTTTCCCCCCGTAGGAGGGAAAAAATGGGGGGAGTGTGAAATATTCAATGAACAGCAACCTAATTAGCTGCAAGCTTTAAACAGATGGCCTTAAAATCCACAGATAGGATATAAAACCCTTAAAGTTTAAATGTAACATATAAATGTCTTACTAATTATTATCATAATAATTATAATATTAATTTCAATCTACTTTGTTAAATCAAAACACCCTCTAAGAATAGGAGTTACTTTAATCTTTCAATCTATCTGTATTAGAATATTAACCGGATTAATCAGTTCATTTCTATTTTCTTATATTATAATAATAATTATATTAAGAGGGATACTAGTTTTATTTATATACATATCAAACGTAGCTTCTAATGAAAAATTTTATATAACAAGCAAAAACTCATTATTAATCTTATTAATTCCACTTCTTATAATAAAGCAAGACTCAATTATATACAATTTACATAATTATAAAACTAATACCACTATAAAATATGATATTTCCACCTCCTTAAGAAAGCTCTTTTCATTAGAAACAGTACCTTTAATTATAATAATAGTTTTATACTTATTCTTCACTATAGTTGTTATTTCATCAATTGTAAATATTCATGAAGGGCCAATACGCTCAAAAAGATAATGAATATATCAACACGTAAGAGTCATCCACTAATTAATATATTAAATAACTTACTTATTGATCTTTCTTGCCCTTCAAGAATCTCCAATTGATGAAATTTTGGATCCTTATTAAGAATATGTTTATTGATCCAATTATTAACGGGAATTTTTTGTAGCTATATATTATACAGCTTTCGCCAACGTTTCGATCTTTATTGAGATCATCTTCAGGGCTTGGGATCTACAAACATTCTTTAAATTTAACATATACACGTAGGATGTGGAAAAAAGTGAATTTATACAATGCAAAAAATATTTTTTATATTCAATCAAAGTACGATAACACGATAAAGAAAATGTTTTTCTGAAAACTACATCACACCAGACCGCATCTCACGATTTCCGAATAATCAGCTTACATAAAGATTAAGTTTTAATTTTATATTGAGAAGCACTAATAATTTTATTTCAATTTAATTTTGTTTACTTGATTTTTTATTATTATTTTTGTGTTTACATAGTATCTTTTATTAAAGTAAATCTCTGCGGGCCACCTTCTCCAGCAGACGGTTTCAGAATAATCATTGCTGTATAAGAACTGTTGTTGTTTAATTTCTTTTAAATTTCCTTAGGAGAAACAGCCAAGTTTGTCGAAAGTGGTGTTATGTTAAATTTGACATATGCAGTTCTCGTTTGAAATATTTCGAATGTTGAACCGGCGTCTGTTGTTACCACAGTTCCTCACTGAAGATGACACAATGCCGAAAATTCAACAAACCCGCGGGTGAAGAGGTTCCAATAAGTCACTCGTAGTCCGACACCCATCATCGACTTTAACAAATCCATTTTTTGGCATAATTTTAAATTGTATTATTATCATATAAACATCATGTTTCGCCAATCCCCTTTGAAGAAAATTGTGAATTTATATTTCCTGAAACAGATTCCTCTATAAAATGTTTATTTTATTAAATTGACATTTTAATTTATTCGTCATCATCTGGGCTTCCATTTATTCGGAGGTGAGTTGTAATTGAATCCTGGATGGAATTTTTCCATTTTTTGCCGCCTGCTGATGGACGGGAGTCCTGATCGAGGGTTTAGTTATTTATTTTTTCGTATAATCGAGGTTGGTTTTATTCGAGCCAATCCGATCGCTACTTCGAATATTTGCTACTGAACGCCTATTATTTGTGGAAATATTACAGAATTATCGATCTTATTCCTGTATTGTTTTGATACGTTGAATGATTGATAATATTGAGATTGGAGGGTTTTACCGAGAATTAGCAATCCGTCTATAATACATAAAAATGCTTGATATTTTGGATTTGTATGTGGGGTAAATTTGCTGAATGGCCCTTGACAATGCAAGTACTTTACACGTAGTATTGTGTTTCTGTCACAGGCCTTTTCACTTTACCATTTTTTTTTACAAACTGTTCGACATGACATCTGACACGGTGAATGTGACTGAATGTTCTCTGGAAGAGATTGCCGGTAAAAGCGAGAAAGATTGCACTCATGCGGGCTCCAGCTCGTGGTTTTATCAATATTTCCGTGGATTCTTTTAATTTAGGTTTGTTCGGAGGCCTTGGTTTTAATAGCATTCCGTATTTCTTTCTCAACCCGGTATCAAGTATGTTTTATACTTTGCCCAGACCAATGGAAAGTTGGAGGTATAAGTTCTAATCTGTTCTGGCCCAGCGATGTTGAGAGAATTAATTAAATTTTTGGCTGCATAGTAAACCTTAAATTTATCCCTCAGTATCAACATTCCTGATGATCGATCGATATGAAATCTCTGCGGAACCGAGGGCGCGACCTGCGAGGCGAACCGCTGAATTCAATAAACCGGGGAGATAGAAAGTAGGATCCCAATCGACACTGGTTGGTGGCAGCAATTATATGGACAAATTAAGTGCATTCGAGAAACTCACGTACGATGAATAAGATTAGCAATCTGACAGGATAGAGGACTAATTATAAAATAAGGAGATATAGGGTGAATAGATTCAAATTTGACATTTATTTATAGATAGACTGGAGATTTTTTCACAACCTAATGAAAGCTACCCATAAGAAATCACCGTACGTGTTAATCAAAAAGTGGTCAAGTAAATAAACTGGTGGTACTAAAAAGGGTTGTGGGACTCAACACATCCTACAAATGTATTGATGTGTTTTTCTCACAACCCTTCTTTTCACATTTTTTCGCATTTCAAATTTAATTGTTTCATTATAACAAAAGAACTATAATCGCAAGGCTCACTTCCAGTTAAATCATTGGCGGTAGTTCTAGATCCTGGACGAATGTCGAGAACTAAACTGAATATGATGTCCTTGGAAAAAAGGTTCTTCGGTGAGGTCACAACAGAACGACAATTCTTTAAGTTTTTGCCGACCTTTCGACGATTATATCGTCATCATCAGGGCTTATTTATTTTAGGAAAATATCGCAGCTAGAACATGTTGTATCATTAAAAAAAATATAAATATTTTTCTTACTTTAACTCGATGAGTTTTGAAATACATCTTGAAAACAAGAAACTGCATTTATAATAATATTATTTAAAATTAGTATCTAAACATTAACGGTATGGAATTAATTGAAATCAATAAAAACTACATAATATATATAAAAAAAACAAAAAAAAACAGCAAGGTTCAACAGCAGGTTGATACATAATCTCATATTGAATATGATGTCATAATGAAAAAAATATTTTATGGAATATTTTTAATACAATTTTTATTTTTATTTTCTTGCTTTGTCATTATTACAGTTATTACTTTTTTGCACTTTTTCAAAAATGTTTTTATATTAAACTATTTCTACAGTTTTTTCATTACAATGTTAACAATATTTTCAGCCAAGCCCTAGCTCCTTTTCAGGTTGAAACTAAGGTGCAGCTCTCTAATATTTTATCGAATTAATTAAGGTTTTTAGTCGAGATAAAAAAGTCAATGGCATGAGCGGGATTCGAACCCACGATCTTCGGCTTGACGCCGCTGCTCTACCACTTGAGCTATCGTGACCTCGATCGACTCGGACACCAACTTCCCATCTCAACCGCACCTTTTGAATTTTCCTTCCGTTTTGCTATTTTTCAAATGTCGTGTAATCGGATTGGATTTTCGACGACAAATGAAATGGCCACGGAGAGCTTTAGTGAAGTATATTTCATTTTTAATCATTAAATTCACTAATTTCGTGGTCCGCTTGACCAATTAATATATTACAATTAATTAAGGTTTTTAGTCGAGCTAAAAAAGTCAATGGCACGAGCGGGATCGAGGTCACGATAGCTCAAGTGGTAGAGCAGCGGCGTATCAAGCCAAAGATCGTGGGTTCGAATCCCTATCGTATCGCTAATAAATAAAATCAATAATACGAGACAATAATATTCTAAACATCACGGTTTTACATTCTTCTATTATTGAATATAAATTTAACTCAATATTATCTGAACTGATTCAAATTCAAATTAGGAATTTGTGGAAAATATTTTCAGGACAAGAAACACACATTCACACTGCATGACCCTCAGTAGGAACGTTAAATTAATTTTTACATGAAAATGATCTATTTTATTAAAATGTTATTTAATGAAGTATTAGTGTTTTAATATACATATTTTTTTATCTTTCAGTATGCAGTTTCGTGGTCCACAAGCGGTGTCACGAATACGTCTCCTTCACATGCCCTGGAGCCGACAAAGGGCCAGATTCTGATGTAAGTATTTAATTCAGTATCTTAAAAAAGTTCCACTTGACAATGTGACGTAGAGGAGGCATAACTTAAAAAAACGAAGTGATTCAGACGCAGGTGTACTCGATCAGCGTGGCGAAAGATTCTGTTCTGCCACCAGCCTAAGACGGACTTGGTATCGATCTCCTTTCTCTTCCCCCTTCCCAAAACCTACCCTCCGACCTCGTCGTCTTCATTCTTTACCATTCTAGTCAACTGACCTCTTGAGTGTCCAGGATGTAAGCAAAATCGCAAAATAAAATGAATTGACGGGCAATCGTTTGATAAATCATACCTCGCATAGTTAAAACCTAGTTTTCTCGATTCTGATCAGCTAGCAGTCAAAATAGATATCCTTAAACTATAATGCTCATCATGAAAATCATCTTATACCAAATTTATTTTCTATTAAAAATGAAGCGTTAACGTTAATTAATTTTTACAACTGTGTAAATAGAATAATTAAGCTCCTGGACGAAGTATTCCTTTTTACGTTGGGGATCGCACACAATTAAGAGATTTCGTTTATTTTTCTAATCTGGATTTTGTCACTTATGTGATACAATTTTTGTATAATTTGATATGTGCCATCATGTTCTTATTAGAGGGTTTTATTGTAGAATATAATGGTAGAAGTATCAGGTGTGGTTGAGCTACTAAAGTTTTAAAATTGTGATTTTTTGTGAAGCTATTCAACTAAACGGTACAACCCAGGAATCTGAAATTTATTTCGTAAATGTTTTTAGAACATTTCCATAAGGTTTTCCTAGTTCATTTATGTACGTAAATTATTGAAAATAGTTTGTCACTGCATTTTATACGAGTCCTTCAATAGCAATTGCCGTTAGAATTCTGATTGTTGGACTTCAAAGACGTCAAGGAAAGGATCATGGACTTGGTGGCCTATCGGACACTAGAGACACGTCTATGAAGAGAATAAATTACGTATATGGCAAAATAAAATGAACTAGGCAAATTAACAAGATAATTTTGTAAAAATAACGTAAAACATCACTGTGATTTATTAGTAATATAAATATAATATGACCTGAATGTACCGTATATAAATTGACATCATTATTTACATTTATTCACTAAATGTGAATAAAGACCAGGGCCTTTCGCCAACAAATTGATCTGAATAATTTGAATTTCCAGGATGTAGAAAGTTGCTTAGATAAGTCCAGTAAAATTAGATTCGCTTTAGAGGCATATTTTAAAAGTAAGTTTATTGAAAGCCTAATTGAAAATGAAAAAATCAGCCAACATTAGACATTATTTCTAAGGGCTAATAAGACCTTAAAGATAATTCACAATTAGAGTAAGATTACAAAAAAGATATGTAGTTAAATTAAATAAAACACAGTTCAAAACGTAAGACACTGACAATAATATTGATAACTGTGTACAACTTAGAAAATTTAATAATTTTATTAAATAAAATAAATCGATGACATGACTTATTTTTAAGTTTTCTTGTCCTCTACTTCATTTTTTTAAGGAGTATGAACGGTAATAATCTGGACCGCCCCTTCATTTGGCTGAAAGCGCTATCATCAGACTTGCTAACTCCGCAGGCTCGGCCATTTAGAAATTAATTAAACCTCCCGGGGTTAATTTAATACAAATATCGTTATTCTCGACGGTATTAAACAACCCGAGTCCAGAATTTATGATAACCCCGATACACGCAGGGGGACGTAATGACCGTCGATTGTTGATTTTCTCCCAAGCTTAAAACCTAACAGGTAAAGCCTTTAAAGATGTTTTCAACGAGTTCGATTTGGTTTAAATCAAAACACATAGTCTAATGCCCTGTAGATTAACACCCTGCAAATTCCAAAACTTTTTACGTTCTGCTACATTATTTTATCAAAAAATGCCAGATTTCATGAAATGTTTAAGTAAATGTTTGTTAATAATGGAATGATCGAAGAATAATCGATAGAAAATTTTTTTGAAATTATTGTCTCGACTGAACAGGTAGAGGGACCGCCTCCCTAATGATGCCGTGATACCAAAAACCAACATCGATCGTGACTTGACAGATCCAACAATCATCGCGTTTCACTGTTCAAGAGATCATGCAGAAAAATAAAATAAAGATGTGTCAGTTATATTTTTCTTGTTGAATTGTATGTTGAAGTGATGTAAATATGCGATGAAAACGATAAAATTTCCAGGAGCGATAACGCACAGGTAACTTGTTTAACCACTGGAGGCGTGAGGCCGCCTTTAACGACCGTTGTCTGATATTAACGGAAACAGGTTGAAATGGATCACTCTTATAATCGTCCGGGCCGACCTCTATTCCGACTTGGAACCCGCTTTCCTCCTTAGTCTCTATAATCCCTTGTAAATGCGTTCGTTGAACAGAAAGCCGACTATTAGCGGACGTCGATACAGTCTATCTTTGATACAGTCACTAAACGTCAACATCATAATTAAAAGAAAAAAAGAAGAATTTTCTTATTCTTTATATGTCCTTTACGTCTTCAAAAATTGACAAGTGGAACTAATTCTAATTGTAATAATTTTTTTATATAATAATTGGTATGTACAGATTTCCATTCTTTAAATTTTTTTCCATTTTATCCTGCTGACTAATAATTTCTAATTTTATATGCTGAGCCAGAGAAATTGGGTATAGTTACTGGTGTTTCATTTAGCTTGGTCGCTCCCTTCACTCTACACACGCAATGTCGTACTCCGAATGTGTGTACTGTACCGGAGAAGTACGTCAGGGGACGCAGGGTCGTGTTGATTATTATGACGAAAAGGGGAATCGTCACGACCCTAAACCCTGAATGCCACACTATGTTTCAGTCCTGCAAATAATTCTCAATTTTACATATTGTCTGTCCGTCTTATAACATAACCAGTCTGTATGTGTAAGTGTACCTCATGTATTTGTGTTGACTTATGATTTTTTACGAACCCACACCCACTTAAAAAAAATGCCTTTATAGATCGGACAGAAAATTTCCCTCTCTTCCATCATTTAATTCAAACATCTGTGTGAATGTATTGGTTGACAATTCTTCAAAAATTTCTTTTGTACTTTATAAATTGTGATCTTTTGATTTTATTCTCTCGACAAGCATGGGAAAAAACAAAATAAAAATAGTGGTTTAATTGATCCTTTACAAAATACAGCACGAAATGCGTTGAAGAGGCTCAATCTTCCTTAAATCGTGACTTCTCGTTTTCCCTTAACAATATATCTTATATTCTTTTAAATTATTATAAAACTATGGATATTTCAACTGTTCTGTACACTATATTATTCGTCTATATTTTTCCAAATGCATTAAAATTAATCCAAAAAGAAATTCATCCGACATCTCGGCAACGAGCATTGTAAGCTTTAAAGCGCAATATTGCCACGTCCATCGGTAAATCCATAACAAATAAATAGACTTGATAAAAAGAGTTGTGCTTTTTGGCCTAACTAGTTTGAGGACTGTTCTGTAAATGGAAAGAACTTATCCGGCGACAAATATTTATTAAGTCATGTTGAACCGGCACTGGGTCCGTCTACACTCGCTGTTTTTTTTGTTTTTTTTTTATGTTACTAAACTCGTTTTGGCTTTACACGGTCTTCGTGAGTAACATCAAAAACCGCCGAGTATAAACGTTCCAAATAAGTTAGCCGGTTCATTAAAAAATATTCACCGACTCGCAAACCAACACCCACCATCAACTTTGTCTACTAAGATCTCAAGAATTTGCCTACTGTTAATTAAACTGATTGGCAGATTATGAAACAGAATCAGGAGGTGTGTGCGGGTGGGTATGCTGTATGTTGAAAAATATGTAAATCTTTAAGAGTTGCTATAGCTGTTGGTATCGATGCTATATCTCAAATTTAAGGCTTTAAAAATAATTTTAAATTGCATATTGGTAAAACTTAATAGCTTTCACAGAGGACATGTTTAGGTTTTGTGTTTCCTCAAAGTTCTCCTGTCAGAATTGTTGTTCGAATAATATGTAAATTTTGTTGCGGTAGCCGAGTGGTTAGCATGAGAGACTCTCACGCCGCGGTCGTGGGTTCGATTCCCACCGTCGCCTCTGGCCCTTTTTTCCCGATAACCCCCAATTTGAACACACAATAATTCGTACTATGGCTAATATGCAAGATCATAAGGCCAATAAAAAAAAAAAATTAAGGCTTTAAAAATAATTTTAAATTGCATATTGGTAAAACTTAATAGCTTATTTGTAAGTCGTTTAAACTTTACAAACAACACCATCATTTCAGGGTGCTCTTGTCAATTAAGAACTAGATGTAAATAGATTATGACGTTAATGCAACTTGGGGGCACCTGCTCAATGGAAACTGCATAAATCATAAATTTCAATTGCACATTTAATATTGCATTGGATACAAAGGAAACACTTCGAGTCTTTTTTTGACAAATACTTAGCCTTATAATGTATGATTTATGCCATGAAAAAGTGTGAAGTAATAAATAATTATATAGGTAATCAAAAATTTTAATCAAAAAGTAAAAACAAAAAAATTTAAATTTAATAAAAAAAGAAAAATATCTGTAAGTCACTTCATGGGCCTCGAATAATAGACGAGAGTCTTTAGTGAATGCATTTAGTAGTGTGAATGCATAAAGTGTGAGGAAGTATTATGCATCAAGTATTATATACCCCATCGTTTTTAGCTTTGCATATTTTGCGCGAACTATAAATATCCTTCGTCCTATTAGAGTAAATATATTTAAATATGAACGATGGAATGAGTGAGCATGATGTGTATATTATATATATAAAGATATAATAACATGCTAGGGCCGTATGGGATGGGATACTCCCTCTGGGGTATGGGGATTAACCCCAGGCTCTGCTCTAGCTAATTTGCATAAGCCCTAATTTCTGACCTCACATCCGAAGTAATCCGTAGCTCATAAATATCCACTCGCCCGGCTAGTAGTCCGTCCGAAATTTTCACGCTCAAATTCGTACTAGACAGG